CTCAAAAAGTACACCACCACGACACCTTTTCCTGAATAGTTGGCCAGTAGCACTTTAAAATATTCTTAAATTCTTACAACATAGCATCCTTATCCAGGGAGAGTCTATGTGATATTGTCTTCTCGCAGCAGTATGATTTAAAGTAATGCTGTTCACCTTTTTCTGGTGCTACTCCTATACACCTAGGAGTTGAGCTGTCTACAGCTGGTGTGCAGGTATACTGTTCTATTCCCACTCACAACAGAGCTGTTAAATCAAATTGCTTTGCACTGGCAACCATGCTAGTCCTCCTACTTTTGCTACAAAGCTTTTACACTGACTTGTGAGTATTCAGGATTTTCTAGAAAGTTGCCAGGGTTGGTTTCTGTTTCAAGGACTAAGAACTATTCAGTATCTCAGATGAAGTGACAGAATAGCTGGTGGTTTCTAAAATAGTGACCACTCTGTCCAATTCTTATTTTTCTTTATTTATTTATTGTACATTCAAAAACCAGACCATACATACTTTCTCTCCATAAAAGTCAGGGCCTACATTTTGAAAATATGGTTCTGAATGTTACAGAGCCACATTTTTTTTTTAAAGTAATGAGCATGTAGTTATGTTTCAAGGGCTTGATTTGTAGTCATGCTATTTTATCCCAACTTCTAGTTACACTGCAGGTTGCTCATCACTTTTGAGAACTGAATCCACAAGCATCTTATTTTTAAAAGCTGAACAATCCCTAAGAAAATGAGGCAACAGAAAAATAACTCTTTGGGGACAGAATGGCTGCTGGTCTAAGCCAAGGTTCATTGCTGCCCATGGAGGGTTTTTAGTGACTCCAAGATGTCTCAAGGCTGGCCCCTGAACACGAAGGATAGACGCAGCTGCTTATGTCACGGAGTGTCCGTGGTAGGACAATACAGCAGCAATAGCAGGCCTTTCAGCTTGCTTCCAAGTACTCTGGGTATTGGTAGTGGTTTTCTTCAATGATACCATAATCTTGTTCTTTTAAAAGCAAGCTGTCTTCAGGATGGGCTAGCACCATTTATCATATCCATCTTGATGGGCATGACAAATTCAGGTATTCTCAGTTTTTGTTTGGTGAAGAGTATTCTCAGTATTAAGTTACAATCGGAAATCCCGAACGCAATGAATTTATCCATAGAATGCTGTACAACTAAATGCCAAACAACGAAAAGAATAAAAATCCCCACTGCAGTACATAATTCTCTCCTGCAAATAGCATGAATTCAGGATCCAAGAACTAAGGTAAAAGGTTATTGCTGAGTAATTCTATTCAGGAACTCAATAACTGTAACACAAACCAACCAGAAATAATGTCCCACATCAGTCCGACAGCAACTGCTTAACAAAGGAAGACTTCTGCTTACTTAAAGTCCTTATGCAAGTTACTATTTTTTGTCTAAAGAATATATTGCTTCCTTGCTATTGCTCTGAGTTTACTCAGCAGTTTATAGTACCCGCAACATGGAGGATTTTATTGCTCTTGTGCTAAAAACATTTCCCCTTATTGCTGAAATCCTCTGTTAGGAGAAATGGTTAAAAAAAAAAAAAAAAGACAATTAAAAAAAAAATCCTCTGCCAAGCTTTGAGGATGAATATATGAAAAAGCTGACTACAGTAAATTTTGCCCATCAAGATACAGCCTGTTACTAACTTCGGGTCCAGCGTGTTAATAAATAAAAATGAACTTCAATTCTTTAAACTAAATTACGCATTAAGAAAAAAGTCTTTTGTCATTACGATGGAGATACGAAAGATTCTTCACTGTACATAGAAATGGTGAATCTAACACCCCTGGTCTTACACACAGGTGTTGTTTGATGGGACAACAAAATAACAGAATCCTGCAAGCTGGCTGGATTTCTGACAGTTTCAGAGGGATCTTGGATGGATACTGGCACCTCACCACAGAGAGCTGGGGCCTACACTGGAACTCCGAGGTGATAGCAGAGAATTGCTTAATTCTGCAGGGTCTGAAAAGTGGCTGGCTGTACAGCCTTTCTTTTGTCCAAGTGAGGTAGGCAGCTGTGTACCCACAGCTCTGCCCCTACTCCCAAGAGTTCATTCACAGGTGTGTAACATAGCATCTATCCAGTACTGCAAAGCATGTTGAAGTTTGGTTTGACAGCTGTGGACAAACCTATGTCATTGACTTCCAGAAGGATTTTCTGGCCTATGCTGCACAGTCTCAATTTAAGAACATATTACTGAAGAGTCAACATCCTCACTGGAGGTCACAGCAGTAGCTTGGGAGGCATAATCATGCTTCTCATCTGTTTGTGGTGAAAGGTAACCATGTGCTACTCCTCAAACGAGGGCAAATCACATCCCTACGAGCTAGCTTTGTGGGACTTACATAATTAATCCTTCTTTCCTCCGTTTGACTCACATTGCTCCTCAGGAGAGGAGCTTTCAATTACAAATCTCTCTGCTCTGGCACAAGGAAAAGGTCTGCTCCCCCAGCACTCTGTAGAGCCTCTGTGGATTTGAGCAGCCTGTGGAGCGAGGAAGACGACAAGGACACTAGGTGAACCAGCATGAGAAGAGGGGATGACATTATCTCCCTCTGTGCTCTTTCTTCCTGCCTTCCCTACTACCCGGATGTTGTGGAGAGAAGAACACTAGTGCCTGCGAGGTTATCCAAGAGGATGAGAACAGGTCTGCATAAGCAAAACAACAGTTGCCCTCAGGACTGAATTTTGGTCACAGTTGTAGCTGCTTATCTTCATTACACTTTTTAGCAATTTGATACAGAAGAACAAATGGGGGAAAAAAAGGAGGGGGGGGTAAACTTTGCATGACTTTAACTTATTTTCTGCTTTTAAAAGTGCCATTCTACGTTATTCAGCACATGACACAGTGCCATTTATTCCCAATACTTTGCATACTTGCAAAACCGCACGCATACATAGCATGGATATTTGTGAAGTGATTATTTCTTATACAAAAATTCATAACACAATGCAATGACTAGAGTTTCATTAGCATTCAGAAGTAGATAAAGAACACCAATACCCTACACTGAGCAGGGGCCACAGTCTAACTGTGCTGAGCATCTGTAAATCGCAGTGAAGCCAAGGGAGCTGCAAGTTCACAGCTCTATTGGACCATGCCATGCAATTATTAAACTAATCAGATTAGAAAGTAAGAGCCAAATATCATGAAGGTTGAACCAAGTAAATAATGGAATTTGAACCCAGCATTGCAACTAAAATTAATTATTGCTTATAAAAATCTCTACAGTGCCTTGTTTACAGACAACTCATTCACATTTGAGATTCAGCTTTGTGTATAGCATATGATTCTTAACGTCACAGAAACTTTGCCACAAAAAGCTACAGTCATCCAAATGTCCATGTGAAAAGCACAGATTCCATGTGGAAAAATCCAGACCAGCAACACAGTTGTCTCTACTATCTATACTATACAGGTATATTTTTTCATTGAACTGTAAATATTGCTATTTTTACACTTGAGTTTGTTGGGGTTTTTTAAACTGCAATGGAAGATACTGAAGCAACAATACAGTATGCTGACTTTGACATTCAAGGGAATATAACCTCCTACTGATGCCAGGGCATTAACACATAGAGCTCCCATCAACACTAATGCAAGTGGTACTATAAACTCCCATGCACTGACATTAGGGTACACCTTAAGTTTCATGAAGACACCTGCCAGCAAGATTTTCTCTCTGACAATCAAGTCTTCAAATTAGAAAACAATTTTTTATTTCTAGTGCATTCTAATGTGGCTTCAGTAAAAGGTTAGAAGCAGTTTGAAATTTAACCATTCATGAGAGGAAGCTCTGCTTTTTAGACCAGAACTATCATCCTATAATGAAGTGAACTGACATGTGTATGAAGAATCACAATCTCTAATGGATGAAACTGCCAGAAAAGGAGAAAATACTGGTTTCATGTTGCAGTTCTGGTTGCATACAATTATGAACCAGATGTGCTCTGAGAATTTATAAACTTCAGTTTTTTAAATTATATAGCAGAACAATGAAAACAAGTGGTAATAGTTTTGACTCCATAACAAACTTAAGGAGAACCATTTCATGTAGATGCTAAATGTGTGTTGCAAGCCATTTGTAGGTTATTTTATTAGATATTTTCTTATACACTTCTGAAAAGATAAACTTGTCTGAGAAACTTAGTGTTGCATCTACTACAAACGCATAGCCAAAAGAGGCCATATTGTTTCATCAATTTCAAGGATCCCCCCTGAATTCCTTTTAAAATTAATAGTATAATGAGCTCTGATGTCCCATATCTAAGTGAAAACAGATGGCTGACTTTTGAAAAGGAAGGCAAAGCTTATCTTGTTTTAACATCCAGCCAGAACTCAGGAGAGAACAGGTAACCCTTTAAAACAATTATCAAGCTAATTAATGCTGAGATGTAAACTAAAAAGCTATACAAGTACTTCCTCACTTAGAGCAAATTTGTTGCACTAAGATTATTACAATAAATACCATATAAATCAGTACAATTGGCCATTATTTTGAAGAGTATTCTGATATACAAATGGGGTAACAGGACTTGGGTTTTCTTTTCTTTTTTTTTTTTCTGTTTTAAAAAGAATAAAGGGGGAAAAAATATCCTGACAACAGACTGTAATATGCAGAATGACTAAACTCAATCACATAAACAATTTCAAAGGAGGTATGCTGTTTCAATCTAATTTTAATTAGCAAACTTAATGTAAAATTATGGCAAACATGGCAAAGTCTGCGTAATATAACAAAAAGACCCTGAGCAACATTATAAGTCGGTAAGAACACTGATTATTTTGCTTTTGGAAATCTCCCTTAAACCACTCAATTCATTTTGGTCACTGGGGTTTTCTGTTTACAAAAAGGTCAGTGCATCCTGTGGTTTTTATATGAATCCATCACACACCATTTAATGAACGCATCTAAACCAAAGACAGCATCGCAAGAACGTCTGGAAAGTAACATGTTAAGGAGCGTCCTCCTAGCTGCCAATCAGACATCACTGGGTGATCTTGCTCTCTGAGACAGGTTAGAAGGAATACAGCCACAACAGATGAGCCAAAGTGCCTTCTGTATCTCCTGGTTTCTAAAAGCATATATTACAGGATTGATGATGGAATTGTAGGTAGCTGGCAGGAGGGTGGCATAGGTGTATATAGAAGGATAGGTGTAATCTGCTATTAAAGAATAGAGCGTAAAAGGCATCCAGCAAGCAGCAAAAGTCCCCAAAATAATGGCCAAAGTAGACACTCCTTTTCGGGTGGTCACATAGTGGGAAGTGGCCAGGAAATGGTGTTGCAAGGCAATCTGATGGGCATGGCGCATCACGATTTTACAGATTTGAATGTAGAGCTGCAGCATGAGGGCAAACATAAGCAAGAAAGAGACCGAAAGGACAGCTGCATTATTTTTAGTGAGTGGTCTGATAACACTGCAGGTGGATTCATCTCTGAGGCAGTTCCAGCCCATTACAGGCAGCAGTCCAATACAGATAGATGCTCCCCAGAGCAATATAAGCATGACATAGGTAAAAGTGACAGTCCTCTCTGAATTGTAAGTCAAAGCGTAATACAGGGAGAGGTAACGATCAACAGTAATAGCCAGCAAGCTGCCAACAGATGCTGAGAAAGAGGCAACAATGAGTCCAATCGTAACCAGTTTCGTCGCTTCTGATTGCAGAAGGTATGCAAAAACGAAATTGATGATCAATCCAATGCCCGCTAAGAGATCTGCCAGCGCCAGGCTGCCTATCAAGAGGAACATGGGGGCACGAAGACTGGGATTATGGAAAATGATAAGAACCACAATGGCATTTTCGCAGGAGATAAGGGTCCCTGAAGTACACAAGACAATGTCCCAGGGGTTTACCAAAAGCTCTGGCTCTGGGTCTATGACAGGAACCAGGGAGGAGCCTGCGGCTGAGGCATTCTCTGTAGAGCTGGCTTCTACATGATCCTGAGGCAGCCAGCTCAAATTAACCTTCAGATCTTCATTCATTTTAACCCCTGTCTTCTTCAATGGAAAGACATTTTTTTTAATGTTCAGACACAGCACTGGATACAGCACCCCCAGAGCATGCAAAGCCCTAGTCGGCAACACCAATCTAATGTGCAGGCAGGCACTTGTTACATAAATGTGACAATAAAAAAAAAAAACAAAACCGAATAAAACAGAGGGGGGGGAAAATATTTAAAACTGCCCAAGATTATCTGCCAAGGGACCGACACACGGACGCTGAGTGATCCTAACGGTAAGTCCCTTCACCAGCATAGGGAAGAAGGCAGAGGCACGGGAGGGAGCCCATAAAACAGCTAACCCCCCCCCCCGCCAAAGCGCTACAATTT